TGTCCCTCACAACATCCTCATGGAGAAGCTGGCTGCCCATGGTTCGGGTGGGTGTACTCTTCTGAGTGAAACATTAGCTGAATGTCAGGGCCCAAAGAGTTGTGGTCAACGGAGTTAAATCCAGTTGGTGGCCAGTCACGAGCGGTACTGGGGACACTTCTGTTTAATATCTTTATTAACGATCTTGATGAGGGGATTGAATGTACCCTCAGTAAGTTTGCAGACAACACCAAGTTGGGAGTGTTGATCTGCCAGAGGGAAGAAAGGCACTACAGAGGGACCTGGATAGACTGGATCAATGGGCTAAGGTTAACTGTATGAGTTTCAAAAGGGCCAAGTGTCTGGTCCTGCATTTTGGTCACAAAACCCCAGGCAACCCCTACAGGCTTGGGGAGGAGTGTCTAGAAAGCTGCCTGATGGAAAGAGACCTTGGTGTACTGATGGACAGTCAGCTGAATATGAGACAGCAGTGTGCCCAGATGGCCAAGAAGGCCATATCCTGGCTTGTATGAGGAATGGCATGGTGAGCAGAACTAGGGAAGTAATCCTGCCCCTATACTCAGCACTGGTGAGGCCTTCAAGTACTGTGTTGAGTTTTGGGCAGCTCAATACAGAAGGGACATTGAGGTGCTGGAGCAGGTTCAAAGAAGGGCAACAAGGCTGGTAAGGGCTTGGAGAATATGCCCTACGAGGAGCAACTGAAGGAACTGGGGATGTTTAGTCTGGGGAAAAGGAGGCTGAGGGGAGACCTCTTCCAGTATCTGAAAGGCGCCCACAGGGAGAGCAGGGTTGGTCTCTTCTCACTGGTGACAGGTGACAGAATGAGGGGAAATGGCCTCAAGTTGTGCCAGGGTAAGTTTAGGTTGGATATCAGGAAACACTTCTTTACAGAAAGGGTTGTGAAGCACTGGAATAGGTTCCCCAGGGAGGTGGTTGAGTCACCATCCCTGGATGTGTTTGAAAACCATTTGGATGTGGTACTCAGGCACCTGCTTTAGCAGAGGGTTGTTAGAGTTAGGGTAGTATGGTTAGGTTGTGGTTGGACTCGATGATCTTTGAGGTCTTTTCCAACCTAAGCGATTCTATGATGTTATGATTATTTCAGTATACTGCAATAACTTTGCTTATTCTTAGTATTGTATCTTCGACACTGAAAGTTAGAAGTAATACTTAAGACAGAATTCCAGTACTAAGGTGAAGTTCTGAGGTAAATCAGAGAAAATAAAAGCCTTATTTCTTTTCAGAATACTTGAAGGAGAATACAGACATACTTTCTCCTACTTCCCAAATTAAGAGCTGGCATTTACATGTCGGAACAGAAGGTCAAAAAAATATTTGAATGAAGGGAAATTACATGATTTTCAAATTTAAGGCATTCCAGAAATTTTCCAGTCACTCTTTCAAAGAATGTTATATAGGCTGATGCACGATGTGGAAGACAGTGGGAATTTCCTATGAGCTATAATGAGAACAAAATTTTACTTTTCAGTCTTGTGACCATGTCTTTACATTTCAATGTGATAAGTTCTTTTCCCCTTTCTGTGGGTTATGAAGCCTCTGTTGTTTTACTGTTGTCTCTGTTGTTTAGGAGTGTTGGAGTGTGAGGGGTTGATCATAAAATTTTGTGGACCTTTTAGAAAGCTTTGTATTTGTACATGTGAGGTGGATTTTGTTATGTAACCATATGATCTTACTTCAGAGAATGTACATGTGGAAGGGATCACTGCATTTTATCTTTTATTCCCTCATCAGTATGCTTCACTTTATTAATATTGAAGTAACATAAAACAGCCTCTTCAGAAAACTATCAAGAATTTATATAGCCACTCCTTACAGCAACTGACTGATTTCACAGGATCACAGAATTGTAGGGGTTGGAAGGGACCTCTGGAGATCATCCAGTCCAACCCCCTTGCCAAAGTGCATGAATAACGTATTCCACATGAATAACAATAAACTTTCTTGGCATTTCTCTCCTTTTCCTTTTCAGCGTAAAATATTCACATTGGAAAATTTTAGTTTTAGACTAGTTATTTTATTTTGATTATTTGATTATCTAGTTATCACAATACGTGAGGGACATGAAGCTTTGGAGATGCCCAAGGAGAGCCACAAAGATGATCAGAGGGCTGGAGCACCTCACCTGCAGGGGCAGGAAGAGAGAGCTGGGTCTCTTCCGCCTGGAGAAGAGAAGGCTCTAGGGAGACCTTTTAGTGACCTTCCAGTACCTGAAGGGAGCCTAAAGGAAAGCTGGAGAGGGACTTTTTATAAGGACATGTAGCAACAAGGCAAGGGGAAATGGCTTTAAACTGGAAGAAGGTAGATTTAGACTAGATATTAGGAAAAAATTATTTAGTGTGAGACACTGGAACAGGTTGCCCAGAGAGGATGTGGATGCTCCCTCCCTGGAGGCATTCAAGGCCAGGCTGGATGGGGCTTTGAGCCACTGGGTCAAGAAGGAGTTGTCCCTGCCTATAGCAGGGAGATTGGAACTTAAAGGTCCCTTTTAAGTCAAAACATTCAAGGTAGCCAAGTAGGCCAGTGGCATCCTGGCTAGTATCAGAAATAGTGTTGCCAGCAGGAGCAGGGAAGTGATCATCCCTATGTACTCTTCTCTGGTGAGACAGCACCTCAAGTACTGTGTTCAGGTTTGGGCCCCTCACTACAAGAAAGACATCAAGGCCCTGGAGCATGTCCAGAGCAGGGCAGTGACACTGTGAGGGAGCTGGTGCACTGATCTTATGTGGAGTGGCTGAGGGAGCTGGGATTGTTCAGTCTGGAGAAGAGGCTCACAGAGCACTTCATATTGCTCTTTGTAACTCTGATAGGAAGTTGTGGTAAGGTGGGCCTTGGCTTCTTTTGTCATTTAACTAGTGATAGGACTGGAGGGAATGGCCTCAAGTTGCAGCAGGGGAGATTCGGGTTGGATGATAGGAAAAATTTCTTCTCCGAAAGAGTGGTCAGGTGCTGGACAGGGCTGCCCAGGGAGCTGGTGGAATAGCCATCCCTGAGAGTGTTTCAGAAATATTTAGATGTTGTACTAAGGGAAGTGGTTTAGTAGAGGCATATTGGTGGACAGTTGGACTGGATGATTTTGGAGGTTTTTTCCAGCCGTGGTGATTCTATGACTTCCTTGCTTTTTACTGGTTGGCATCTTTTTAAGAAAAAAAAAAATTAAGGCTATCTGTATCCTCTCAATCACACTGTAAGAATGAAATTAATGAGTGTGTCCCTAACTAGTAGATGTTTATTGTATACCACAGAGTCAGGTGAAGAGCCCAGAAAGAAAGAAAAGGTAACACAAGCACATCCTGGTAGAGATTATTTTGGGTTGGTACCTGCTACATTTTCAAAATGTTGGTGTTTTCCTGATATGACCTTTATATGTATATTACTGGCAGATACTCATTTATAGGGTAGGATTTCCTTGACATTTTTCTGAAAAATACAGCACTGAACTTGTTATCTAAAAGAAGGATTGCCTCTTGTCCTAATCACTGTACACTTCTGTCTCCTGTTTTTACTGTACTTTCCCATTTGGTAGTGGGACAGAGCAACAAGATCTCTTTTAAGCCTCAACTTGTATGTCATGTGCTCTAGCACTCTCATTATCTTGGTGACTCTCTGCCGGACTCCCTCCAATACATCAACATCTTTTGTGCACCAGGAAGCCCAAAACTAAGCATAGTCACTTGTGGCTCCAGAAATACTGAGTAGATGGGGAGGATCGCTTTCTTCAACCATCCATCTGTGCTGTTGCTAGTACAGCCTTGGAAGCAGTTGTCCTTTGCTACACGGCAATTTGTGATCAGCTTGTCCTCTAGAACCTTTGGATCTTTTTCTGCAAAATGTTTTTTAGTCGGTCAGTCCCCAAACTGTGTTAGCATCTGGGTCCCAGATGTGAGACTCTGCAGTTGTCTTTGCTTAACCTTAATGTTATTGTTCATACATTTTTTTTTTTTTTTTTCCAGCCTGTTTAGGTCCCTCTGACTAGCAGCTCTGTCCCCCAGTTGATCTATCTTACTACTTCCCTAAGCTGCTAACTTTATGAAACATTCTGAAGGTGTGCAGTATCCCACTGTCTGCATTTTTAGTAAAGATTTTGAATAGTATTAACACATGAGAGATTCCAATAGTAAATGACTTTGTATGACTGATTACCATTATTTAAGCCCAAAGTCCTAGTCCATACCTTGCTTGGCTTTAAGGATACTATGAGAGACTGTACCAAAGGTTTTGTCTTCACACTAGTCAAGGTGTGACCATTCATTTCATCACAAAAGGGTATTAAATTAGACATGATTTGTTTTTGCTAGCTGTTTCCAAACACCTTTTTGTCGAAGCTTGGAATTTGAGAGGCTGGTGTGAGGCTGACTAGTTTCTCGTTCCTTCTAGCCATTCTTGAAGATGGGTACAGTATCTGTATTCTGCAGACTATTAGAAATATTTGATTGCCACAGTCTTTCAAAAATGACTGAGACACAGTGACATCAGTTCCCTCAGCAATTTTGAATTTGTCTCTTCTGATCCCATGGACTTGCTTATGTCTGTTTGTCTTAAACACTACCTGATTTTATCTTCCTCTACTTCCTCATGAATACACAAAAAATGAACTATGGGAAAAAAATCACCACCTAACTTTTTATTGCCAAGTTAAATTTCTACTACTACTATTTTGTTAACATATATATGAATACGAAAGGTCACTGAATTTTTATCTTGCTTTTGTATTATTTATTAATATAAATTGTTTTTTTGTTTTTTGTTTTTAACTGAGAAGTCTGCCTCTATCATAACATGAATGTATGGCACTGTGTCTGTGCTAATAGTAAACAAAACTCTTCCACTGAAGTGCTAAAGGCTATAGCAGTTTACAACAACTGAAAATGTAGATTCTAGGAAAGAAAAATGCATACATGTAACTTTATAAGCTCTTGCATTCTAATTATTTTCTTCCAAGGACACCTTACTAATAGTACCTTTCTGCAATTTTTCTGCAGTGGAAAATGAAGTTGAAGCTGAAAGGGTTCTCTTCTCATATGGGTATGGTGCTAATGTTCCTACAACAGCCAAAAGACGACTAAAGCAAAGGTAAATAAGAGGCTTTTCTGAATTTACTCATTCAAGACAAAGTAAATGAAGAGAGGAGATACAGCATGTTTAATCTTAGAAACTAGTCATTTTGGTTAACATAAAGAGGTTTTCTTAATTACTTAAGAATACAGAAATAGGATGAAGAAAATGTACTGTATTTAATACATATCTGTCAGGAAATTAAGAATGGTAAAGTTTAAGAGCATCTTTTTATCTTTACATACACAGCATTTGATTCCAGTTACGTTTTTCAGTTTCCTCTGATACCGTTTGATTAATAGATAAAAATAACATATAGACCAAATAACATACCTTTTGGTCATAGTCATTTTTAAATAATAAATTTATACAATGCATTGTCTTTAAGAAATAATGGTGACATTCAAATAATTCATTGTGTGCATAAAGGCTACAGCTCACTGTGAAAGATAGGGAATGTAGGTTTATCTACAATATTTTACATGATTTATAATCTTTTTTAACTGTGACAGCAAAAAAATACTCTGCAGTTGTTTAAAATATATCCGAATAATATTAAAGGAAAACATAACCTAAGATCAAAATCATGTAATGGTGGGATGATTTAGGCTGAAAGGAACATGTGGAACTTAGTGGAGTCCAGCATCCTGCTCAGAGCAAATCCAATTGCTTAAGACCTTTTCCAATTTAGTAAATGTTGTCAGTATTGTCTATCAGATCGGACCTGTCGTGTACTGAGTTACATATTGCTGTAAGCATCATAAAGATTTTATGCAGTACTTAAGTTTGGCATAGTTTAATTTGCTCTTTAGCATTTTTATGCCTCATCATATTGTTTCTTAGTAAAATTTCTTTTTATACTACTTATGTCACTCCAAAAGTAATGCATTCTATTTATTTCCATAGAAACTATAACAGCTACAAAGAGCACAATAACACTATGTGATAGAGCAAGTTCTTAGCTGCAAAACACTGTTTTTCATCAGTCATCATTTTGTAGGTGACCTAGTGTCACTGTCTGAAACTATGCTCAAATCCAGTGTTTGATCTCTGTAAACATTCAGCAAGTGTCGATTAATGTCAGTGGGTGTGATTTTTTTTTCCTCATGGAGGAATTCGGTTCCACACTTTTGCTTTACATGCACTCCCACATCACTCCATTCTGTCAGACTGCCTCTCTGCTGCCATCTGTTGTGTGGGAAAAAAATGGAACTTAATATTGATGGGAATGTTCTGCTGCCATACCACCACTATCTGCCTCTGTCACTGTGAGACAACATAATAAATAGGAGGCGTTGCTTTTGGAGCAGCCCTCTTAAATAGAATTCTAGAAAAAAGGCAAAGATGTCTATTCAAGCACAATGCATGATGGTGTCTATAGCTTTTTGCTTTTACTTGCCAGAAACAACTATCTCATGTATTTGTATGTAAGTGCCATACACCCATACTAGTAAATTAAGTATTTCTGGGAACATTCTCGAGCACTGAGATGAAATAGCATGTAGTAGCACACTTTCACAAAACTGAATTCTCGGTGTAGTTGCACGTGTATGACTTTCTAGCAATGGTTGCTGGCCCAAATTAACTCCTCCACTGTGCCTAAAAGCTGTTTGGGATTACCACATTCTTGAGTTTAGTTTCTGTTATAGTGGAATAAAAAAATGTCCAGAATTTGATATCTTTGGAGATGTAAATTTCTGAGAACTTCTTAAAATTTCAGAAGTTTTTTGAACTTTTTTTTTCCCCCACCATATTATGTTCAATTTAGATTGTTTACACATTCAAGGACCTTTGTCCTTTTTGTTTTAAATTTAAGCTACTTGAAAAAACAACTGAAAAGCATACTTAACATAGTTCCTTGTGCTTATCTTTAAATCCTTGCACATTCAGATCAAGTTCACTGAACAGTTGTAACTGGAATAACTATGATGGGCTACATATCTATAGATGTGACACTTAGGGACATGGTTTAGTGGGTGCGGTGATGATAGGTTGACAGTTGGGCTTGATTATATTTTTTGCAACTTTAATGATTTTGTGATTCTACATTCCCCAAGTTGCAATGGGAAGGTATCGCTGTTCCCCTTGCGCTCCAAACATTAATGTGTAAGATTCCTGACTAGATATATTACAGAAGTTTGATTTCTGTTTTGTACTAGATGGGATCCTAATGCACATCTCATAACTCATAAGCTACAATCAGAAAAACGAGCTTGGGGAAGTCTATTTTTCTCAGTTAATATGTATACAGTCTGATACTCTTTCTGGAGAGAACCAACATTCTAGTGAGTGCTATTTCCAATTTTGGGTCATTCTTCTCCTAAGAGGTGAAAGAGTATCTGTGTGAGAGTAGGATCATAACACAGAATATCAAGAAATTAAAATCAAGAGTTCTACCAAATAGAAAAGTATGTTCATTTTTACAGAGGGGGAGAGGGTGGATATGACTTCTCAAATTTTCTGAGAATGTACACATACTCATCTAGCTTTTCATCTAACTTTAATTCTCAACTTAAGAACAAATAAAACCTCCCAGTTGGTCAGCTGTAAACCACTTATACTCTTACATGTTCACCATCATAGTCCAAAACTTGTTATTTTTTTATTTGGTTATTATTTTATTTATTATTAGGTACACGTTTTCAGTGTATGGAAGATATACATTGATTCTAAGATCTGAACTGGAGTGACTCCTCTCTTTTCTTCAATGTAGATGTTTTGGAAAAAAATGGCACACACTTGATTGAAACAATAGATTGTTGTGTAGAGCTGTTAGTTCGGTGGTTAAGGCACGTAAAGGGATGTGTGTTGATTAGTGGCTGGAGTACTTAAATATGGAGGCATTCGGTGATACTTTCTTGATTTGTATATCTTTTTGCAGTGAGTTACCAAGCTGCTGAATTCTGCAAAGATGACAGGACTCATTACAGGATAAATATAAATATCTAAATACAAATTTAGATATCTTGCCATAGGCTTAGGGACAGAGACTTAGTATCCAGCCATTGTAATCAATTTAATTCTGATTAATACAGTCAGTGAATTTTTGAGTACATTTCAGCGCATCCAAGAGTCTGTTTTATGGAATATGTTCAGACTCCCCTGTCTATTGAATAGGGCTAAGTGACTGTAATAACAAATTGAAAGACTGGGTTAGATACAATTGCAAAGCTTCTTTCCAGGTATGTGAAATCTTCCCATTGCTGCCTATGGAACTATGCTATTGAATTGATGATGGAGTCTTCTAATATTGGACATGAAATATGCAGGAAGTTGTAGCGCTTACACAGCTGAATAATTCTTTTGTGGATCTATTTTTTATTTAAAAAATAAAAATAATAAAGTGGTAATGACATTTAACTAGCATAGTAAATGTCAGATAAAATGATTTTGCCTTTGTTTAGAAAATGATCAAGTATTTCATTTTTTGTTGCTTTTCTACAAGATATATGTTGGTATGTATTTTTAAAACTGACTTAAGCAGAAGCCACTTACGGTGATTCCTTAAAGTAGATAAAAAAAAGTAAATACTCATGATTAGTTGAAGTATCCTGACATGATTATTGCAATTATAAAGAATTTACAAATAATATAAATAATTACTTTTTAAGAAATATTACCATGGCGTCACTACAGGAATGCTATTTCAGTGCTATTGAAGTCTGTAATGTTTTCACTGTAATGTTTCCATTTTTTTTTTAGCTTTGACGATTATGCACGGTCTCACTGTATAGTTTATGTATTAGTATAAAATTAAGGCAATCAAGTTTTGAAGTACAATTGTGAGAATTTATTTAGCATAGTTTGGAAAAAAAAAATCAACTTGAGCTTGTTTTTCTTGGCACAGTGTTCACTTGGCAAGGAGGTTACTGCAGCTAGAAAAGCAAAACTCGTTGCTTGTAAAAGATCTGGAACATCAGAAGGAACAAGTAACACAGATTTCACAAGAGGTAAATTATTGCTCCAAAAAAAAAAAAAAAAAGTGTAGAAACTACAAACATGGTGGAACAGCTGTTCATAAAATGGAATATTTTCTAAACACTGTTTATTATCTATCTGATGTCAAAAAAAAGCCTCATAATTAACCAAAACTCCATGGTAAATGTTCTGAAAGAAGTTTATATTGTATTTTGAAATGAAGATCAAAAGAGGGATTACTTTGTAGGCTAAACAAGAATGTAGACCCAGACAGACAACGTTCTGATTTCTGAACAGAAAACCAGCTAGCCAAACTAGTTTGTTAAGTGAGTATCTCATTATATTTTAAAAAGCTCTGCCCTTATATCACATTTGAAGATATTTCTGTAAATCCTTTTCTATTTTGCTGAGTCTTTCAAATATACAAATCTAAGGGATATTTGATATAAGCTGTTTAAAAAAAAAAAAAGTTGAAATTAATTTTTTGAAGTATTACAAGGTGTTAAATTTCATATGTAATAGCTGAAATTGCATATTACACTGAGTTGGCAAATAAACACCGTAAAATGATCATTTTGCAATCTTCCTTAATTAAGCTGAACTAATTTTTTGAAATATTTTTAAGATTGTCTTACCAGTTTCTCCTAGCAACCATGGAACTCTATCTTGATTTGCTGTCAGGTAGTGCCACCATATGAAATTTCAAGGCTACCTGCTTTGGAAATATGGTTGTTTTTTCATTTATTTTAACAGTAATTATAAATTAAGATAACTATCCTGACCTGCATTAGAAATAGTGTGGTCAGCAGGAGCAGGAATGTAATCATCCCCCTGTATTCCGCACTGGTGAGGCCACGCCTTGAGTACTGTGTTCAGATTTGGGCCCCTCACTACAAGAAAGACATCAAGGCCCTGGAACGTGTCCAGAGAAGGACAGTGAAATTGATGAGGGGACTGGAGCACAGGTCTTCTGAGGAGAGGTTGAGAGAGCTGGGATTGTTCAGTCTGGAGAAGAGGAGGCTCAGGGGAGACCTCATTGCACTCTACAACTTCCTGTAAGGAGGCTGTGATGAGGAGGGATTTGGCCTCTTCTCTCAGGGCAAAAAACAGGACCTGAGGAAATGGCCACAAGATGTGCTAGAGGAGATTTAGATTAGACATAAAGAAAAACTTTTTCTCTCAGAGAGTGGTCAGGCACTGGAATGGCCTGCCCAGGGAGGTGGTGCAGTAGCCATCCCTGGCAGCATTCAAGAGGTGTCTAGATTCGGAGCTACGAGATATGGTTTAGCAGCTTGTGGTAGCAGTGGTGGTGGGAGGACGGTTGGACTGGATAATCTTGTAGGTGCTTTCCAAACTTGTGATTCTATAATTCTGTGATTCTATGTAAGTACTTTACAGTGCAAATATTTGAATTGTCTGCATATTTATAAATACGTGTGTACTTATGTGTTTGTTTTTATACATGTAATCACATATAGCTAATTTAATTTTAATCAAATATATGTCAACAGTGAATGTTTATTTATTTTTAGCTAATATTAGATTTTTTAATAAATTCTTCCAGATACGTGTTAGTAATCTGTATTTGATTAAAACATATCTATCATATATTATTGATTTAAAGATTCAGGGGTATTGATAAATCCAGTGTTATCCTTGATAGTTTTCTTAATCATTAATAAAATCTGCGCTTTATTCTCCATTAAAATGTCTAGCTTCCACTTTCGTAGAATTTTTTCTTACCTGCTGTGGTTTTACATTTGTTTCTAGATCTAGAAAGATTTAGAATTACAGACTTTCATTCAAATTCCTGCAAAGTTCCCCCTTTTTTTTTTTTTTTTTTTTTGGAAGAATGGAAGAATTTTCATGGGATGTTGTGTAGCCTTTTCTTGATCTTTTATCATATAATTGTGTATTTTAAATCGGGATATGACTCAGTAATAAGTTAAATATCTTTATAACAGATTGTTAGCTAATGCACAGCAGCTACTAAGTCTGTTGAGCTCTTACAAGGTTAAATAATAAATCTTTTAAAACTTGCTTTCCATTTAATTCATATTTGGCATTCATATCTAAATGCTTCATTGAATTTTTTTTTAACATATGATTATTGGATTTTTAGATTCATATGTATTATTTCAACCATTCTACTTGCTACTCAATATACATACAGACTTTTTACACTTATTTATGGGTTAGGAAGTAGTTCGCTGTTCTTGTGTACAAACTAACAATCTGACTTTTCAAGCAGAGGACAAAAACGTTCTGAAAATTGTGTTTTCTTCAAAATTATATTCAGTTTTATTGTATCTCTGCAATTGTGGGTTGTGTTGTTTCTAGGGTTTATTTGCTGCTTATTAAGAGTTATTTGCCTACTAGTATCAACTTTTCCCACAAAACTAACTTCTCTTATAAATTATCTGTACTTCATGTCTTACGCAAATTTTTGTTATCTTTATTATTTTTATTTTTTAAAATTCAGTTTGCTATTTCTACTGTATCCCGTGAGTTAGGATGACATTTTACTTGATGGTACCTGCTTTATTGATTGTTTGTTTCAAAGAGCAAAGCAACCCACTTCAAGCTCAGGTAGTCCATTATTCTTTTCATTGACAGTTAGTTAAGACATCTACCTGGAATCTAGAACATGGATTGAATGTTGATGACGAAGTGATTGGACCAACTTTTATTTTGAACTCAGATTAAGCACTGGGATTGTCCTGTAGTAGTTATGATACAACCTTTCTAAAACTATATGAAAAGAGGGAGATTATGAAAACTACAGTAAGTGTTCTTTGTAAGATTCTTTTTATGGAGTATCCTCAAAGAAGTATTGCTAAGGTCTTACAGAAAGGGAGCTATATAGAAAAGGTTTTGTGTTGATCTCCTCAAAAAATTTCATGTTACTAAGAAGAAGATACACACTTCTTAGATTCATTCATTTGATGGAACTATGGTAAGCACTGTGCTTGCTTGAATGTTGGAACCCAATGTAAAAGTTCAGCTGCTGAAGAAAATTAATTGGATATAATCCGAACGGTAATATACCATTTCAAGGCTGTATTTTACATTATAGGGTCTTCTATTCTCAGATTTTAAGAGATTGAATATGTAAGAATCTTGTACGTTAAGGTAGAAATCAGAGATGCTTACAAAAAAAATAATGCTTTTGCTCAAGGATAACAATTAATTTATATATATGTATTTATAAGTAAAATTTATCCAATACATGCATTTGATGCTTAATGTATTCCAGTTTAATGATGATCTCTTCTAAGTATATAGAATAAAAATAGCTAAACACCATGATGGAAAGGGATAGCCTTTTTTACTAAATGTGATGCATTCTAGCTAGTAAAATTAGCAAAAGAACCAATGAGTTTAGCAGTATCAAAACAAGCTTGCAAGACCTGTTATTTCCCACCGAAGTACTTGAAAGTAATGAGGAACTTCACACCAAGATGACAGCAGCTTTTGAAGTTTTTTAGATTATCTGGAATGTGATCGTCTGAACAAGAAATGCTGGATTTTGTTTCTCCTTTAAAGGCAGCCTTAGGGTTTTATACTGAAATTTTAGGCCAGCCTAGAGATTGATATTCCATGTCTTGAAATTATCTCTTTGTCATGTAGAGATTCCTTCTGTTGTCTTCCTGATATAGATCTTTTTGATAGCTTCCGCTCTCAGAAAGCTAATAGCTTAATTTATTTTGTTGTTGATTATCAATTTATTGAAGATAATTTGTTTGTTCAAAAAGATGATTGCCTTTTATTTTTAATTCTCTGCAATGGAATTGGAAATTCTCTGCAGACTAGAGTAACTTCCCTAAATAATGTATTTAAGTAATATTTAAAGATTTATATGAATTGTAAGATGTGCACTGTTACTTTCTCTCTTTCCACTTTTTTAAAATGTGAAGTTAACTCTCTCTTTCCACTTTTTTAAAATGTGAAGTTAACCCCCCTTTTAGCAAGGTCACTAAGATGAATAAGGAAAGTTTTGTCTAAATATTGATTTTGAGTTAGTACAAACCATTGGATTATAAGTTCTTTACACATTTGACTAAGAGGAAAGAAGAAAAAATGCAATAAAATATAAGGGAACCAGAGGAAGAAAGAAAAGAACTTAGGCAACACAGCCTCATGTTTTGAGGGGACTGAAAGAAAAATTAGACCATAGAAAAGTCCTGAAATACTCCTAAGGCTAGCTTAATAGGATGGTAATAGGATGGTGGGGTTTTTTTGTTGTTATTGTAGGGTCTTTTTTCCTGTTCACTTGGAACAACAATTTGGCAAATGCAGATTGTTTAATCTATTCAGAAATTTTTCACTATGTGGAAAGCTTAACCATTTCTAATGTATTTCTTCCATTACACATGTTTACATCAAAACTTTAAAAAAATTGGTATATTTTCTTTTAAATCTAGTTGATGTTCATGACTTGTACATGTTCCAGCAGATGAAACTGCTAAATCTTGACGTTTGAACTTAATTCTGTATTAGTAAATTAGTAATTTAGTAAATCAGTAATTCTGTATTTAGCGAATCATATTGTTATGCTGTTCAAGATACAAACCATATCAGCTAATATTTGGTTTTTATTTCTAGTGATCTTAGTTTGTGTAGGATATAAGACTAGGAAGGCTTTGTTTCCTACGTATAGGTATGAGAAGTCTTCTAAACTACTCTGTTAAACATCTTATTGGATGTTTCTATACAGTTATTGATAAAAGAAAATGGGACTTCTCTTCCATTATTGCCGTATTTTTATTTAGATTCAATTCCATTCCAAATGTTACTTATAGTCACTAAGATGAACAGAGTCTTTGTTCATTCTCATTTTTTTCCTCCATCAGTGAAAGCTGTTAAATTAAAACTCTTGAAAATGCACATTAGGAGAATTTAAACAGTGGTAGCATGATTATAGTGAAAATATAGAAAAATTAGAATACAAGTAAGAAGGTAATTTACTAGATATTAATTTGGAGATAGATTGTCGCATCTTTTGAGACAGCAGGTTTGGTTTTTATATTACTATGCAATTGGTAATAATTGTGATTCAATAATAAGTTACTGTCCTTATAAAATTAGTAACACTTTTTTTCTTTGTCAGCTTGACAGAGCAAATTCTTTGTTGAGTCAAGTACAACAGCCATACAAATACCTCATTGAAACTGTGCAACAGAGAGATTCTCAAATAAGTGTGCAGAAGGAACATATTGCAGAACTTGAAAAAGATGTCAGGTAATTAAATTTGCTGCTCATTTATTTTAAATTGAAAGTAAAACCATTTCTATATGTTTCATTAGAAAACTGTTTTATTGTCCATCAAGTAGCAAATATAGACATTCCATCATTGACTAAGTCCAGCCGCTTGGATGGAAAAGACCTTTAAGACCATGAACCTAATGCTACCAAGTTCACCACTAAACCATGTCCTTAAGCACCATGTCCACAACTTTCTTAAATATATCCGGGGATGACGACTCCAGCCTGTTCCAATGCTTAACCGCCCTTTATTTGAAGAAACTTTTCCTAATATCCAATCCAAGCTTTACCTAGTGCAACTTGAGGCTGTTTCATAGCACATCCGTTCAGAGTATTAGGATGCTTTGGAATAGGGTTTTCTAAGCCCTAAGGAAGAATACCTAAAAATTCTTTTATCCAAATAAATCTATACACAAATACATTTATAAATAAAGTGACATCTTCACTCATAGTCTCTATCAAGATATCTTTTGCTGGCTTATTATGAATAGATCATTTTTCTTCCAGAAAACAAGCGTTTTAATTACTTCCCTGAACTTGATATATTACAATATATAATATGTAAATTGTACTTTTTCAGAAGATGAAAAATCATAATAATAAGTACTTATGTAAGGCCTTATCTTCCAATTGTGAATAAAATAAAGAATTGGTCAACAACAAATAAAATTTTCAGATAGCGGTGACATGAAAACTTTTCTTAACTATTCATGTAGTCATCCAAAAGTCTCTCGGTAACTGGGGGGGAAAAAATGGATATTTGAGTATTTTTCAGTTTTAGATTTTTTTAAATGAAGTTTTCATGTTTGCTTAATAGTAGATTGATCGGTTTTCCGAAAGTGTCTGTTTTGTGCCATTAAAACATAAGAACTTGCATTATTAGCATTGATTCTCTTAAGCTTTTACAGTTTATCCCAAACACTGCTCAGATATTATTCCTAAATTTAGCCTACAAATTTAGGCATTTAAATTAGGAACTTGGCCATGTCAGATTTTCTTAGTAGCTCACAGAGGAAGTAATTCAGATTTCGGATGGCGTGAGCCTTTTGTGGGAGATGCTTGTTAATCTTCATTAGCTATAGAGGGAATTTTTGGCCTCTTAAAGAAAATATATCTGTACCACATAGTGAGTAAATAGATGAGCAGTACTCTATTGCGGCAAGCCAAGATGTGCTCACCACAACTTAGTCTTTCTTTGAATGAAATTATAGTCTGACAAGAAACTATTTTCACCATCAGTGGTTTTGTAGCAGAAAAGTGACACTTCACACACTGGATGTTTTGGTAAGAAGTTTTTTCCCATAGTTTCCATTTTTCTTCCTTTGAAACAGAAATACCTAATATTCTCTTGTCACAGTTTTATCTTAACCATAATTTCATTGACCAGTGAAATTATTGGAAACATCTCTGTGGTTTTTTTGTTTGTGTCAGTAGTTCCTAACTCCACTGTTCATACTTACACATTTAAATCAAATGTCCTAAATTGTTAGTTGAGAAATCATAATCTGGTATAAAATTGATAATGCTGATCACAGGCTTTCCCGTATCTGTAACTGGCATAAAAGTTAGAGGAAGAGAGAACTATTACATTCCAGCATCGTCTATCATGACAGTAGCCTTTTGAAACTACTGATGACAGATTTAAATTAAAATATCACTTTGGTGACTTCAGATTATTTTGCAGAATGCTGTCCCTCAGTTCTCACAGAACTTAATCTGAATATGTTTTCAGTAAATTAATGAGAAACCCTACCAAATATGTGCCAGGTAGTGCTCTGATGAATTAAAAGATTTAGACCATTACTCATATCAATGTTTCTCAGTCTATTAAATATTATTTTATTGGTTTGTCTGTGGAATATTTTTGAGAGGGTGAGTTCAGATAATTAATGCTGCTCAGGAAAGGACCTAAATTCTACAGATAATGTTGGTGCTATTAGAAAAGCAAATAGTGCAATAACTAAATATTAATTATGAAACCTGGCTTCTCTGTATCTCAGAACTCAGACAGGAGTTGGTATTTATAAATCCATTTCAGAATGAAATTTCAGATTGTTCTAAGAAAGTGTAATTTCTGACATCAGTTATTTCCACAAAAGGAGTGGGATATTCAGGCGGATCCTTTTGTTATGACTCTTGAGAAATCCTACAGGTCCATCCAACTTTCCTTCTGTGATCTCTGTGGTTCACTTTAACCACAGTAGCTTTGTGCCCATATCCATAAGCCAAATTCTTGAGCCAAGGCTGTCTTTCACAACCCCTGTATCTGGATTTCTTCCCTGCATGGGAAATATTCTGTAATTGTTTAAATAATATTCAAGGTTGTTTGTATCAATAGTTGGCAAGTTGAAAAGAGAGGAATGGTCAAAATGTGTACCAAATTGAATCAAAGCCTGAAAGTAGTCAATAGTTGTATGCTTAACTGCTTAAGCACTGCTTGATTTCATGTGTGAGTTGATTACCATTCAAAGATGAGAGATTACTGAGGGACAGTCAAAACCCTATAAAATGTTGCCCATGCATATCTTCATTAGCACTCTCCTCCACATCTGCTACCGAATTCTTCTGGGCAGGACACTGACTGTGTGCTGCATTCTGCAGTGGAGCTGAGGTGTGACTGGGAGGAGGCCACCTTGTATACTTGTGAACCGTGTACCTGCAGATATTCTCATGTCTTGAATAACAAGGCATCTACAGGATGAATTTATAGGTCCCCTTATTTCAAAATACTCTGTAAAGTAACCTCTTATTTGTTAACTCAAATAGCACTTATTAATAAAAGTAAATAGTGATGGTTAATAAGAGCAGTTGTGTGTATGTGGATGACTCTTTCATATTATAAAGAAAGCTCTCTAGCTTGCAGTTCTTTAACCAGAAATGAAAACACTACATTTAGCTCTCCTTTTGAAAAGAAATGCTTTGTAACTATGTCATGCTGTGGGCAAACAAGACTGTGAATTTCATTCTTGTGTGTGTAGTGAAGTAATTGTAGTTTTGGTACATAGTTTTGTGCTGAAACAGCTAGGTATATAAATAACTGGAGATATTACACAGGACTTCATTCATAAAGAGAATTTATTTTAAATGTACTCAAATTTCTCCATACCCATGGTTGATTTTAAAAGTGGTTTGCTGACCCAAAAGCACTCCTCAAAAGCCTAACTGTATGGCAAACTAGAAGCAGTACAAAGATTTTGCTGAGAAGCTGTGTGCATTTTGGGTTCCCTAATCGCCTTCCAAACATAAATTCAGCATACAGTGTTAGTTGACTTTTTCCCATCATAGAATGAGCAATGAGCTTTTTGTGAGAATATTGCCTTCTGTTAAATGTGCATCATCTATCCAAACAATAATGTAAGCTACTTGTGAAAATCCTTTTTCAATTTGGACACTACACAGACTAGAGTTCTTAAGTCTCCTGAAGTAATCAGGTGGAGGAAGGGTCACGTCACTCCCATTTACAAGAAAGGGAGCAAGGAGGACCCCGGGAACCACAGGCCGGTGAGTCTCACCTCTGTGCCTGGGAAGATCATGGAAAAGATCATCCTGGATGGCATGCTTGATCACATGAGGAAAGGGCGTGTGATCCAAGACAGCCAGCATGGCTTCACCGGGGGAAGGTCATGGTTAACCAATCTGGTGGCCTTCTATGACGGAGTGATGGCATTGGTGGACAAGGGAAAGGCGACCGATGTCATTTACCTGCACTTGAGCAAGGCCTTTGACATGGTCCCCCATCACATCCTTATCTCCAAACTGGAAGGATGTGGATTTGATGGGTGGACCACTCAATGGATAAGAAATTGGTTGAAAGGCCGCAGACAGAGGTTGGTCATCAATGGCTCTGTGTCCAGGTGGAGGCTGGTAACGAGCGGCGTCCCCCAGGGATCTGTCTTGGGACCGGTGCTCTTTAACATCTTTATCAATGACATCAATGACGGAATCGAGTGCACCCTCAGCAAGTTTGCTGATGACACCAAGCTGAGTGGTGCGGTCGACACGGTTGAAGGAAGGGATGCCATTCACAGGGACCTCGAGAGGCTAGAAAGGTGGGCCAGGGTGAACCTGATGAGGTTCAACACAGCAAAGTGCAGAGTTTTGCACTTGGGCCGGAGGAATCCCAGGCATCCATACAGACTGGAAGGAGTGGTCTTTGAGAGCAGCCCCACAGAGAAGGACCTGGGAGTCTTGATAGGTGAAAAACTTAACATGAGCCAGCAGTGTGCCCTTGCAGCTCGGAAGGCAAGTGCTATCCTGGGCTCCATCAAAAGAGGGGTGGCCAGCAGGGACAGGGAGGTGATTGTTCCCCTCTACTCTGCTCTTGTGAGGCCCCATCTGGAATACTGCATCCAAATGTGGAGCCCCCAGTACAAGAAAGACAGGGAGCTGTTGGAGAGGGTCCAGAGGAGGGCCACGAAGATGATCAGGGGACTGGAGCACCTCCCCTATGAGGACAGGCTGAGGGAGCTGGGCTTGTTCAGCCTGGAGAAAAGAAGGCTGTGGGGTGACCTCATAGCAGCCTTTCAGTACCTAAAGGGAGCCTACAAACAGGAGGGGAATCAACTCTTTCAAAGGGTGAGTGACAGCAGGACAAGGGGAAATGGTTTTAAGTTGAGGGAGGGAAGATTTAGGTTGGACGTCAGGGGGAAATTCTCTACAGAGAGAGTGGTGAGGTACTGGAACAGGCTGCCCAGAGAGGTTGTGGATGCCCCATCCCTGGGCCTGGTTCAAGGCCAGATTGGATGGAGCCCTGGGCAGCCTGGTCTAGTATTAAATGAGGAGGTTGGTGGCCCTGCCTGTGTCAGGGGGGTTGCAGATTCATGATCCTTGAGGTCCCTTCCAACCCTGGCCATTCTGTGATTCTGTGATTCTGTAATCCAGTTGAAATAATCAAACAGCAGACTTCTAAATGTCTTCAAAAATTTGATCTGTGGTTATTGTGCTATGGCTGCATAATGAGAGCTCACAAATTCTTCATATTTTCTCTCCTCTAAAAAACTTTTATGTCAGAACTTTTTTATATCTAACTGCATGAATTTAAAAAACTACGTAAAGGTTCAAAACTCGCTGCCTACTCTGAGCTCATCATCATTTGCAGAGAAAGGGCACACATTATAGATTCAGTTTTATGTACAAAGCCATCTTATATGCTATTTTTTAATTTGATTTTTTTTTTTTTGTGGTATTTGGATATGATGCAAAGAAATAATCCAAGATTGAATTTAAAATTTCAGCTTCATTGTACTGTAACTTGAAAGTAACAAACATAAAGGTACAGTCCTTATTTCATAAACGTTTGGGATCCACAGTTCTGCAGAAAAGGAGCCTACTTTTTGTCAAACTGAATAGAAGCAATAATAAAAACCAGTAATACTAAAACAAGGTTTATTTACTGTATCCAGCACAAACATATTATTCAGAACATTTAATAATAGAAACTTCTGAATAAGCCAATAGCTGATATTCTTAGTCCAGAGATTTAAAAGATACCTTAATTGCCCAAATTTAAATGTAATGCTTTAAAATTTGAGACTAGGAAATGTAAAAATTTCTTATGATATCCACGCTGGATGGCCTGTAGATCCCAAGGAAAGCAAACCAAAACAAGGCAGTATTGCCATGTGTATGTATGAGACAAGTGTATTCCGCATTCCTGGTCCCTGGATTCATATCTGGTGAGATCTTGAAAATGTAGTGGAATGCAGGTGCATGCCCTTGTAGATGTTCTCTTTTTTTCTTCAAGCCGAAGCACATGGAAAGAGTATGAGCTCCCCTGCTGTAACCTGAGGACATTCCCTCTAGTCCTGTCACTGTTACGCGAGAGAAGATGCTGACGCCCACCTAAGCAAAACTTCCTTTCACAGCTGTAGAGAGTGATAAGATGCCCTCTGAGCCTCTTCTTCTCTAGACTGAACATCCGCAGCTCCCTCAGCTGCTCCCCATAAGACCTGTACTCCAGACCCCTCACAGCTTCAATGCCCTTCTCTGGACATGCTACAGGGCTTCAGTGTCTTTCTTGTAGAGAGGGGTCCAAAACTGCACACAGTATTCAAGATGCAGCCTCACTGAGCTGAGCACAGAGGGAGAGTTGCCTCCCTACTCTTGCTGGCAGTGCTATTTCTGATACAAGTCAAGATGCCATTGGCCTTCTTGCCCACCCAGGCACACTGCTGGCTCACATTTAGCCATGTGTCGACCAACACTCCTAGGTCTATTTCTTTCACACAGTCTTCCAGCCACCCCTTTCCAAGCCTGTAGCATTGATTAGGGCCAAAGCTGCAGCCAAAGTGTAGGACCCAACATTGGGTCTTACTGAACTTCATCCCATTGGCCTCAGCCCTGAGACCCAGCCTGTCCAGGTCCCTCTGTAGGTAGGCCTTTCCTACCGCTGGGCAGATTGACATTTCCTGCCAATTTGATGTCAACTGCAAACTTGCTGAGGGTGCATTCAATGCTCCCATCCAGGTCATCAGTAAAGATATTGAAGAGGACAGGCCCCAGAACCAACCTTTGGGAACATCCCTTGTGACATGTAGTCAACTGAATTTAACTCCATTCACTACCACTCTCTGGGTCTAGTCCTCCAGCCAGTTCTTTACTCAGCAAAGAGTAAGCTACGGGCTGCCAGCTTCTCCAGGTGTATACTGTGGGAGACAGCGTTAGAGGCTTTGTTGAATCCTAAGTAGACTACATCAGCAGCCTTTCCATCTTCCACCAGGTAGGGCACCTGATTAAAGAAAGAGATCCGATTGGTCAAGGATCTGCCTGTCATGAATCTGGATCAGTAGAATGATCTTTTTGCAAGGTTACAATTTTTCTACCAACATGAAGAGAGGGTACTAGTATATGGTTAGGGATAGGAAAGGCTGACCTTTGAACAGCAGGTTTCACGTAAGTCATCTGAAATGAACTTTAAAGGAACTGCTGTCTGCTTTCTTACACTACAAATTAAAACTGGATTAGTTTAAACTGCTTGTTGATGGACATGTGAGATGGCTTAAAGTTAGAACCTCATTGACCTCTTATATCCAAGATACCTGTTAGAACATTTTCTTTACAGGGAAATTAGCTTCTTCCCAAAGTGAACTTTCAGGAAGTTTACTTGGTCATTATAGGTGTGAATTTATTAACATGTTAATTGTATCTATGCCTCTTTTGCAATATTCTTTCAGAAGAGTATGATTTATTCCCTTTTGACAGCAATGATGAAAAAGCATAATTATTGCAGAACTACTAAATCTGAAGTCTGTGTGTATTTTGGTAATTCTGCGTTCATAGGGTTTCTACATACAACAGAAAACACATAAAGTGCTACTGAATGATATAGCAGACTAATTCCTGTATTTTATCATAAACAAAGAAAATGAGAATAATGCTGAGACTGCTCCACATGGGTTGGTTTTGTCATTCTTTCAGAAAATACAACTGGTGTAACTAGAATAGGTTTTACTCTGTGGATGAAATTAAACCTTGAACATGAATTTCTGGTTAGTCATGAATGCTTTTGTATGTGCTCATTCGGTACACTATTTAAGACATACAGGAACTTTTCATTATTGTTTCTCTAATAAGTTTGTGAGTCGTTGTCTAAAATGATTGGTTTCTGCTCTGAGAAAATCCAAGAAAAACTTTTGTATCAGTAAATTACAACAAATGAACCCAAGAAAAAAGAGTACAGCAATTTTATGATGATTAATAATGTCACAGAAAATAAAAATCTTGAAAATACTATAATATCCTTGTAGTTTTTCATAAATTTTACTATTGCCCTTTTAAGTAACTGAACAAGGCAGCTAAGCAATTTGATCATGGTAAGCAAAATTTCACAGTATTAATGAATGCCAGAAGAAATTGACAGCTGAAGTCTCCAGTACAGAGCTTGTAAGAAAATTCCAGAAAATCTCTGGAACAGAAAATGCTGTTGTTTACTTGAAACAAGCAGATGTTACACATACAACTAAAGAAAATGTTGATTTATTTTGCTGATCATTTCTGGACAAATATTGGGAATATTAAATAATTTGTGTTTGCAATATATATAATTGCTCCACTCAATTTCTAAAAATTTAATACATTTGCTTTTGAACTCACGATCTGATTCAGTACTGTATGTTTGCATTTCATATGCAGAGTTGAATTTTGAATAGTTGCTGATGCATATTGCAGTTTATGTTGCAGAACCTATTTAGTTAAGTCACAGTAATGGTGCAACATTGTTCTACTAAGAAAAATAAGAAAATAGATTAGGTTCAGACATTATGTATGTATTAGTGTGAAGTTTATTATTAGAAACTGTTGTTTGAGATAATTGTGAAAATATATTTAGCTATATAAGATGAATTGCTACCTAGAATCAGAATGAGTACGCAAAACAAAATTTTCATGTTCTACAACTGTTTAAAAAAGGACAATTAAAGCTAAATTTGATGTTGCATGCATTTATGCTAAAATAGTTTTCATGCTGTTCATGAGAAAAACTTGATTTTTTCGAGTCTCTTGTCATATCAAATAAAAAAAATGCATTTGAAATTTCTGTAGAAACTTCAGAGCTGAAAGTGGAAGCTGCATCTTGATATTTCTTGTATTTATTTTCAGAATTCTAAATACAGTAGTATCACAAAAGGGTGATTTTTGAGAGGGTGATGTCTGATGCACTAGTGATGCAAATAGAAAAAGGAATTTTGATATTGAAATCCGGGGTACAACAAACCTTGCATAGCTTTTGAAATCAACTCTTTTTGCTAAGAATAAATCAATAGATAATAATAGAAGGTTCTGATAACTTTCAAATTACCCTTTAGGGAATTAAAAAAAAAAAAAATGAATAGAATTACATGACTAAATAAGATCTTGTATACATCGCTGCATTTAGGTCCTTTTATAAAAATTCCAGTGCTTAAAGATAGAACAGGATCATCTGAGCAGATTTTCATTGTTTCCAATATTTAGCTTTAGCTAAACATTTAGCATGTTTCAACCAGAATACAAGATTAAAAGAGATTATCTGTTGCTATTAACGTATTTCCTATCCTCTTTTTTTGCCAGTCTTTTAAATAAAGAAAAGACAGCTTTGCTGCGTGTCAAGAATCAAATGGCAGCAGATTTGGAGAGACTTCTAAATCACCGTGAGGTAATCTTCCTTTTTTAGCATTACTACCATAAAGTCCATTTTCTCTCTCCTTAGCCTTAAACCATAGGAAAAAATGTTTAAATTTGATTTTTTATTCCTTTTCTTTTCCTGTGCCATTTTGAGAAATACATGTGATGATATCTGACAGGCACCATAGAGAACCTGCATATAGGTGTCTTTATCTACAGCTGTTTGCAAAGCAGGCTGACCATGAGCCAGTAGTGAGCCCTTGTGGGCAAGAAGGCCAGCGGTGTCTGGGCTATCCTGGTATCCATTAAGAAAGTGTTGCCAGCAGGTGGAGGGAAGTGATCCTCCCCCTCTACTCTGCCCTGGTGAGGTCATACCTGGAGTACTGAATCCAATTCTGGGCTCTCCAGACAGGGAACTATTGGAGAGAGTCAGGGTGAGGAAAGGAAACAAAGATGGCAATCACTTAGGTTTCATCCAGAATTGTATTTCTGTATATACACACCTGAGTTTCATCCAAGCAAGAAGTCAGAGTGCTTCTGGAAGAAGAGTGCTTCACAAGTGTGCAAAAATGCATTTTAGGCATAAATATATTATATGGAGATTTCCAAAAGGCTTTTGTAAAGATCTTGCCTTTAACAATATTGAGAGACTAATCTACTGTGGAGTATTTGAGAAAATCCTTCTGTAAATTAAATGTCTGAAAAGAGGATAGAAATAAATGAAATTTACCTATGGAATTCCATGAACAAATCTGGAAAAAGATGAGTAATAATATGGAAGGTTTGCTGAAGCTAGAGAATAGTGAAGATATAAAAACAAAAGCTGACAATGAGGAGTAGTTAAACACTCTCCCAGAGTTACTGAACGTTTTGGCAAAGATTTGCAAAAAAAAAGAAAACAGTAATTAATAAAAAATTATGAATGTGAGAAAAAACAAGACAAACTACCTACAGAAGGTAATGGAACCTAAATAACCTCTTACTGGTTCAGAATGATCATTGTGAAGTTGTTTTATATAAATAGTTCTCTAAAAATACTTTTCATTTCTCTGACTGAGAAGAGAGAAGATGGGGAGATGCCTTTCAAGGAACTTGCAATTCTCCTGAAGTATCCTTGTCACTCATTCTAATACCATTATTTCTACAGAAACCAGACTATTCACATACCTCTCGAAGTCCTCTCACTACACCTCCAAAATTATTTTCCCCATCTTCTTTTACTGCTGTTGCCCAAAACTCCCTTCTTACATTAGTACAGCAGAACTCATTTTTTTAACTGATCCAACACAGTTTGTCTGTGCCAACCAGTTACAAAACCATTTTTGTTAGAATAAAACTGAAATAATTTCACTGACAGCTGAGACTAAGTGAGCCTTGGCTTAAGCTAAAACTACTGTCATTTCCCTGAGATCAGATCTGAGATTCGAATCCCCTTAAATTGAAGTAAAAAGAACAAGAGTTCTTAATGTGTTTTCTATGCTGAATCACACTGGGTGGTCATCTGATGCAATATCCTCCTAGAATAGTTTTCACATTTAACTTTCAGAATTGTCATGCTTGTGAAGTTCCGCATACAGTGATTAAAATAGTCTTGTTACAGAAGAGAATAATTGAACATGCTTCCCCAGAGTAATTTTCAGGTGTCATTAACATAGTAGGATCATCAGTAGGTATGTCAGAAGTGATCATTTGATAGCTCTTATTTCTAATGTCTTTATCTACATCATATAATTAAATTTCAAAATCAGGACTGAGTCTTAACGCACATAGAATCATAGAATGGCCTTGGTTGGAAAGGATCACAGTGATCATGTAGTTTCAACCCCCCTGCTATGTGCAGGGTCGCCAACTACTAGACCAGGCCCAGAGCCACATCCAGCCTGGCCTTGAATGCCTCCAGGGACATGTTTAGTTTGGGTTTTATTTGGATATTGGTTTTTTGTGTATATGAATTCCAGTGCTATCTATTAATATAATAAAAAACATAATTTACAAACCTAGTATGTTAATGATATGAAAAATACTTTAAAAAAACTAATTAATTAATTGTATAAACATGTAGTGAATTTATGAATTTTGAACATGATAGACCTTTGGCAGACTAACTTCAGATTTACTTATTTCAGAATATCCTGTTCCTGTTCCTACCACTTCTCTCAAGGAGCAGCACAAGTAGTGCTGCTCCTTTTGTCTTCAGGGCCTATTTTTGTTGGTTTCATATCAACCAACATGCATTGCAGCTGATTAAATTGAGCAGAATATGGCAAATAGAATAAAAGTTTATAAATTTCTACCTCAAATGCTATGCAACTAAACAGTAATAGCCCCTGTCACTATCTGTGTCAATTGTTCCTGATATGCGGCTGTTTGCTTCTTTGTCATTTTGCCGCTCAGTATTTTCAGGCTGTGGCCATCAATGCAAGCAGAGCTGAGTGAGACACACTAAAAAAGAAGAAAAGAAGCATGTGTCTGAAACAGACTTCTTCATGAATATTCCTTGTACCCTAGATGTTAAGAAATTGAGAAAATATTTCCAACATTATTACGTTTGTTCCATATTTTTTTTAATATCTGATAAAAAAGGTATATTGTAATATTTCAACTAACAATGATAATACTTATTCAAGTCACCTTTGCAGAAAAGAATATAAATACTGAAACATTAGAAGTTACATATTTGGGGAAAGAACACTATGAACTGTTAGTGCTATGCAAACAAATACACAAAAAAAATGAAAGAAACATAAACATGAGCTAAAATTGTTTGAGGAAAAGGGGTGGACAAGTGGCTTTTTCTGTGGGGGGTGGAGAGTGGTTATGTTTGCCTTTTGTCATTTCTGTTTATTCTAAATACTGCCTGTTACTTCCAATTTTTAATGCAGCTGTCTTCCAGTAGTCTTACCATTTATTAATTTCTCTAAAAGGCAGTTTTTGTATACACTGAAATCTTTGTACAGAATAAGACAACCTAGTTTACAAAGAATTAGTCTTCAAGTAAATTTCTTCGCCATCTTAATTAAAAAAAGCTACTTAAAATATGGAGCAACATCATAATTTCATTATTTCATTTAGGTGGGCTATTTTTAAATATAAGTAATATGCAGTGTTTAAATCCTTAATGTATGTATTTTGAAAAAATATGAATGATGGTGATAAGTGTTCACTGTATTTTGTTACGCAATATGATCACTATCAGTCTTGTTTAATCATTGTGCATATTAAACTGTCAATTCATGTTAGGAATTACCCTTTTACCCTTGTTTTCAAGTTAGAACAGTAGAATTCTTGAATAGATAAAACTAAGATATTCATAGTTAATATAAACTAACGTTTTAAGTACACTGAAAGTACAAGCGCAAGTGTCAATGCTGTCTTTCCATGTTTCAGTAAGTATACACTTTTGATATAAGGTATTCCAGCCTGTGTGGTCTCAGATTGCATTAACTCATTTTTTAATGAAATGTTAAGAGTTTTAGGGTGGGTGGGTTTTTTGTTTTTTTGTTGTTGTCATTTTTATCTCCTTGTGATATCAGCTGGATTCATACCCTTTGATTTTGAAGTAAGTACAGCATTTTGCATACTTTTTACGTAAAGGTTTTATACTTATGGTTAATCTTACTTCCTTTATCATTTATTTTAATCTTGGAAGAAAGAAGTTTAATACTGAGCTCTAAATGTTGGGAGAATTCATATTATTCTTTTATTACATAAAAAAATGTATTTCATGTAATAAAACAGCTCATTATTTCAAATTATGGAGACTAAGGTAATCTGATGTTGAGTATTACATTTGCTCTGAGAAACTGAAGTGAAAAGTTGTCATTTGACTGGTGCTTTCTTAATAAGTTTGGCCACCCATTCAGGAGAAAAACAGAAGCTGCTTTTTTGTTTCCTTTTTTCAGTTGTTTCTTGGCCTTCTGTTTCCTTTTTTTTCATTAATTAATTAGTAAATGAATGTGAAAAACCTTTTAATCTAGCTTCTCATGTAAATTATTGAGAATATGCTGGTGCATTCACAATTTCTGTGGATTTCTTCTTTATGTGGATAAATGCAAACTATTACTTCAGAGCAGGTTTGGTATCTGGAATCATGCTGAGATGTTCTTAGAGGTTCATAATATGGCCTGCACAGTGCAGCTGTTCTCTTTGAGCTATCAGAAGAAACTGTGATGCCATTCATAAGCCCCTCAATGCACGATAGCAAGTACAGTTGGTACAGCTAAGTTTTTCACATGATTTCACACTAAGAAATTTTACATTTTATCAGGGTAACCAATAAGGTTTGTAATTGTTTTTCCAGATCCAACAGAAGAGCATAAAACATTGTTCAGAGAGACAGTGGAGTCTCCCATTAATAACCTGTACTAAAATGAATTTTGTTTTTTACAAGGATATAACAATTCCAAACATCTTTGTGTTACTATTTGTACTTTGCATTATTTTTTCAATCAGCAGAACCTTTATCTTTCACCATGGGTAACCAAACCACACACATAAAAAACTTGAACCTTTATTTATCCAACTCTGCCTTTAGCCTTATACCTGCAAAGGACCTTTCTTGCCCTAATGTCTTTGTGTAGTCAGAGGGGTGCAAAAACAAAGGATTTTCCTTCAGAAATAGTCAGGATGAAATTACACGTTAGGCCTGATTTGACCTGTTATCTATAACACTGTCTTTCTGCGTTGTTTCTGCCTTCTTCTCTGCCCTCATCTTGCACCAGCTCTGGTACTTCTCTAATAGTGCACTGGAACCACTCAGATTACTAAACAGAAATGTAGCTGAGACTACAATGAGAAAGGATATTGAATTGTTATCTAGCAGTTTAGCAGTTTGAAGAACCTTTTAAAAAGGCCCGCCAAGATAAAGAGCAAAGAAAAATACATATATATGTCAGTATTTCTTACTTGGGGGGAGGGTGACAGGCATTTGTGTCTAGAACTGCAGAGCAAAGCACACAAAACTTCTGTGCTTTTCTCTGTCTGAAATCCAAACCTTATCCTTTTCTGCAGGTAGCACTAATTTCTAACTTA